AAATCGATAGATTAATTTTACTTTTGTTTTTGTTTTTTCGAAGAACGTTGGTTTCATTAGCACTTTACTTTTGTCTTTGTTTTTTCGAAGAACGTTCATTAGCCCTTTATATTTGAAACATTTTTTTGAAACATTATTTCTGTTATGTTTTTACGATACGATCGACAAGGTATGACATAGTGGCCCCTTTTTCAATTTTTGTTTCAGGCCCCCATTATCTCAGGACCGGCACTGATTGAATCTATAGTTATAATGCTGATAAATATTAAATCGATGTGTAAGTGTATATTTCAAAGATCCTGACTCCAATTTCTTTTGTATACCTCAATAACGATTATCTGGAACTCTAACCTTTATCGCCAACATCTCTTTCTTTTTTGTCAAACAAACATAGTATTATATCTTCTTACTCTCCAATAAAGGAGCGATCAATATTACTAATTTCGCTGCTACATAAGGCAAGCGAAGAAAATACACGCATAGGATAGAAGCAGTCATTATACCTAAGTAACAAACACTGTGAAGACGTCCTTGGATCTCGACAACATATGGCATAAGTAGTGGAATGACGCCGTGGAAGATTAAGAACACAACCAGTGAACTAACATCCGTGATTGATACCGCATCAAGTGCGGGATTATCAATCTTGAAATCGGCTGCACTAATAAGTGTTGAGCCTTTAAAAAATACTGAGAACGGATCATCTTTATAGAGCTCTTCCCATCCAAGAGTTGACCGCGCGACACAAGAGCAATGGTATATAAGCCAAGGAACAAGGGAAGATGAAATTGGTCCCAAGGAACTTAAGGAACTTGTGATAATCAGGAGATGAAGCATCCTGCAAGAAACCAATCTGCAGTTCAACCGCAAACGATACATGTAATCTATTCTCAACAGTTAGGATCCAATTTGTGCAATGGTGAGTAGGGAAACAAGCTACGGGTTAACGGGAGGAGATGGGCAGAGCATCTACGAGGAGAAGCCATTCGAAAGCTATCCGTTATTAATCACAACAAGGTGATATACACATCCAAAAGTAAGGTCGATGGAGAGTATACACACAAGTCCAATATTACAACCGAGATGATATCATACACATCCAAAAGTAAGCTCAGTGAAGAATATGAATTCAGTCTCGGTAACAAACCTAAAATGGTGTCATCACTTTGAACATGACATCACTAGTATCAATTCTAAGCAATGAAAGCACAATCAAATTTAGTTACCTAGAAATCACAACTAAGAGTTGAAACAAATGAAAGAGCAAAAACCAATCATTACCAGTGAGAAAAACACACAAAAATACCTCTGAACTCTGAAGTCCTTCATGAGTTCAAGAAATTCATCATATATTTCACGTTTATCTTGTAATGTATCCTTCACATTCTTGATGTATTCAAGTGCATCACTTGTGGTAAGCTTTTGTACAACCATGTTTTGAAATTGCCTAGAGCCTTCATTAGAAAGACAAAAAGGTGATATTCTTCATTAGCAGAAAAACATGGAAACAACACTGGAAAAGTGTAAATCAATGGAAACGAAGCAGATCTAGCAATAAACTGGAAGTCATCCCAACTAAAACAAAAACAAAAACAAAGTAGATCTACCAATTAAAAACCAATCATAGGAAAGTCGAAAAAGGAGTTCGAAGAGATCAATCAGAAAATATGATCTTAACATAAACCTATTATTATTTCACACATACGATCGATAAAAGACAAACAATCGAAACGAAATTTCAAAAGAAACGAGAAAGAATAAAAAGAGAGAAGACTAGCGTACACTTAAAGTTTCCTCGACTCAATACAAGACTTAAATCATTGTTATAAACCAAGACAAATATATAAACCATTTGGGTTTTAGGTTGTTTTATTATATATCTAAGGACCGCGTTAATACGCGGGTAAATATTATAAGAATTAATGAAATAGATATTTAAATTTTATTTAGTAACCAGTTAAATTTTAAAATATTATTTAACGTGGATATTAAAACCAGTAGAAATCAATTATATCATAATTCTCATAGTCTAATACATATCATGCAAATCCAAAAATATATATTATCGGAATTTTAATAATATTCTTAATAACAGAGAAAACATATTTTTTAACCCATTACGAATAGGGACAGTTAC